CGGTCTTCCAGCTCTATTTACAGTTTATTTCTGACAGAGTTGATAACATGCCAGGGGGCACTAATGATTACATCTTCCAGAGAGATGAAGTTGCTCAATGAGTTACCAAGGAAGGAGACAATATTTGATAACAGTTATATTATATCAAGATTGTTGCAAGATATATACATACAGCTTTGTCCTTATTGAATCCAATGGTCATACACAGAGTTCAGTCCATGAATCAATTCCATAGTCAATGTCCTTGTAAATCAGTTCAGCAGCACTTCTCCTCCTCCACGATCCATGACACCACCACACCAGGACACCGACACCACACCAGCAGATTGTGTGTGCTGTGCGGCTGCTGGCTTTATTCCAGGTTCAACCAATCCTTGGTTTCTCTCACAGCTGATACAAGCCTTACTACTTACATCTTGTATCTACACAGCTGTTTAAATCATTGCTTTAGAGTCTTCCTTTACATAGATCCTAACAAATACTTACATAATATAGGGCTCTTTACAACTGTTTTACAAAACTCTATTAACAATTCCCATGATGTTTATATTAAATCTGTCAATTTCTGAGATATCCTTCAGGCCTGAATCCAACATCAATGTGGGATTTATTAAGAACATGGAGCTTCTGTTAGTAGAATAGGTTTGGTGAATAACATGGTTCACAGCCACATTTTATGAATGCATGCAGGGCTTAATCCCAGAAGGAGTGTGGCTGGAAGTGAGGCTTCAGGTACTGGATAGCTTACTGTTGAGAAAGTAAGTTGTTCTGGATGCCTCATTTAATTCCTTCCAGCTTGAAAGGATATTTGAGACTACCCAAGGACCAACTGAAGGACAAGATACACATCACAAAGTATCCTGCTCCGAAACCATCCCACCCTGCTCATTTTGTTTCTTTCTCTTTTTTTAAATTGACAATTTAGGATAAGGTAGGGAATACAAAAAGTAAGGCAGGATATGAGGGAAAGGAAAAGGAAACAGTGGGAGGAGAACATAAAATATATTGTCATCCAATCTACTCATCTTGCCATAACAACTCGATTTTCCATTTTTCTACTATATAGGTGTCCTCCAGTTTCTAACTTACATTTACATCCTCATTTTAATCTATGTTATTCAAATACCATCTGGTGATTCAAGCCATTTATATAATAAATCCCATCGTTCAGTTGCCTTTTGTGTTTGACAGTCTGTCAGCACTAAGATATCCATTTCTGCAGCTTCCCGTATCTTCTTGATAAGTTCCTCTTGTTACGGTATCACCGATTTCTTCCAATTTTTAGCATAAAGAATTCTGGCTGCAGTGACTATGTATATAACTAAGTAATTCTTTGTCTTATCTATATTATTTTTCCCCCTCTGCCCCATCCAGGATGCTCTCCACCCTATTTTGCCCTCCGCCGTTTGTGTTTTTGCCATTTTCTTTGCTAGCTTCTTTTATCTTCAGGCCACCTGACCTTGACATTCCTCCATATATGGTCCCAGCTATCCCCTGTTTCAGCGGACAACCCGGTAAGACTATGCTTTATGGCACAACTTGGATTACTATTTTGGCTTGCATTTTGATCATTATTTTGCCTACACTTGAGAACAGAACATGCGCATGCTATGTATTTATTTCCACATATCAGATGGGAGAGGACTGTGATTGTCATGACAGAGCTGTCCTTCAGAAACTATGTGGCATATACATATGGAAGTCCCCCAAGGCGGGAACTGCCTTGCAAATTGTGTGCATAATGTGGTGCTGGTAGGGAGAATCTCTGCTCTAAGAGGTGGGGATGCATTACATTTTAGTCTCTCCAATCCCAGGTTGTGCTGCCAGCTTCCCATATAATGTTATTCATTAGGCTGCCTGAGTTTGGTCTCATGATACTGGGCAAAATGAGTAATGGTTGTTGTGGGTTTTTCGGGCTTCTTGGCCGTGTTCTGAAGGTGGTTCTTCGTAACGTTTTGCCAGTCTCTGTGGCTGGCATCTTCAGAGGACAGCAAACTGTGCTTTGGGTAAGGCTTGAGAGTGGAGTATTTATGGCTGTGAGAAGGCTTGTTTGTGAGAAGGCTATTGTCCTATCAGGAGATGGTTAATTAGTATGTTTTGTTGTGGCTGTATTGTTTTGATAAGGAGGGGAGATTATCTGTCCCTGCGGTTGATGGGTGTCATTAGCTGGTGTTTTGTGTGTAGTAATCCCCTGACCTTGTGGCTGGGTGGAGTTCATTGACCTTTTGCACTCTGTGTTTTTGAGAGCTGGGAGCCAGGTTTTGTTGAGTTTCAGACTTTCCTCCTTCCGGTTGAAGTTTTGTTGATGCTTGTGGATTTCAATGGCTTCCCTGTGCAG